CSRTTCACACAAAAAAGCCCAGACCTCAAAATCGAACACAAATCTAGATCCAAACCTCAAAATCAAAGCTAGATCCAAACCCAAAATCAAAATTAAATTCTGACCCAAATCAAAACCTCATTTATCGAGGGTATTTGCTTCTAAAAATTTTGTTTATTATTTAACAAGGGCGAAGATGAAAAGAAAAACAAAGAAATGGGGCTAAGATGAGGTCGGTGTTGTATATATAGTCCTCATAGTGAGACTCCGTCCCACATAGAAAGGATAGTGAAATTATGTTTCACATGTGAGATACATATAAGTTCTTAAGGCATATCACTTGCCCCACATAGGAACTGTGATAAAGTCTTGGTTTATAAGTTCTAATTGTCTTCTTGAGTTGTTTAAGAGATTATATGAGCTACGAAAGATTTGGCTTTGACGTGTGGATTTTACACATATGTTATACAGCCAAAAGAGAGCACTGGCACTGGTATCCAAATGAGTTAGGGACACGAACCTGTATGACATGTGCACTCCTTTCGTCATTTGATATCACAAATAACAATTCTCTAAATACCTCCATATATGTTTCTACATATTGTTCATTGATGAATATATTCATTTGATTACTGAATCTTGGGGTCAAAATCTGGAAAAAGAACGACTAAAATTTAACTTTTATTGAACACAAAGTTTACTCCAAATTAATTCCAAACGAGGAATCAATGAGTCACTTACAAGATAAGACCAAATTAAAAGTCAAGAAACTTCCAATGCCAAACCTCAAACAAGCTCGAGGTTAAGAACGAGTGTTACTAAAACCCATTAACTGTAACTATCTCCAAAGTACGGAAGACGTCTTCTAATAGCTAATTCCTTCACGTGCCTCTAACTAGCACTCAAATTCATCACAATGTCGCTAATACCATTTCCCAATGAGGACTTGATGCATATAACGTCAAATAAAAAGAGTTAGACTTAACATCTATGAGCTCAAACAATTTTCATCCCAAATAATATAAAATGATAAAACTGAAAAAATGTTATTTAAATCACAGTTTACCAAATGAAATGTATTTAACATAAAAAGAAACATCTTTCCCAAAACCCACCATTTTTATGATGAAAACTCTATTATATAAAACACCCTTTTGAAATGAAACGAAAATCCTACTCACTTAAAACGTGAATACTTCAAAATATTCAAATATCTAAACATGGATAAAACTTCATTATCCATAACATCAAAATAGGGATACAACTCAATTTCCAGAAATGACAACTCATGGAAAAAACTTTGTACCAAAAACAACACCTTTCGGTGATGGGGGAGACTCGTTCCATCGACCATTGTGAAACACAAAGTAAGTCATACATCAACGTTATCAAGTTGCACCTCGAGATTCAATTGACTTTAATGTCTAATATTTTGAGCTTCAACTCAAGGCTCATGTCCTTAGTGCCTACCCTTCTGGGTAGCACTTCAAGGCTCATGGTTCTTCGTGCCTACCCTTTCAAGTAGCACCTTAAGACTCAATAATCTTAGTGCCTACTCTATAAAGTTTTCTACTGTAAAAACTCACTCTATTTGCCCTTCAACTATTCACAACCCTTTCAACATTCGGTTAGTATCAACACGTGTACAAAACTCATATTTTACAACTTGAACATACTAAATAATTCCGTAGGTATTCACCTTCCATATACATAACGCCATATGTATAAAACACACGGCACCATGACTACCATACAGTTTAGTAAACATATACATAACGTCATATGTATAAAACGCACGACACCATGACTACCATACAATTTAGTAAACATATACATAACGCCATATGTATAAAACGCACGACACAAAGACTACCATACAATTTAGTAAACATATACATAACGTCATATGTATAAAACGCACGACTCCATGACACTTTAACACTTCACAGTGATCAACTTGTCGAGAAGTGTCAGTAACTTTATAAAACTTGAAATGAAATATTGAAACATTGTTGTTACATAAAGGGATCTATTATCTTTTGTTTTACAAACTCACCCTTTCAGTCTTACACCCAAGCTAAGAGATATATTTAGCAACTCATAACGGAACGGAAATTGCAAGAAATATAAATTACAGTAAATAAAGACATAAAACTAAATAACAAAAAGTAAATAGCGAAATTTAAATAGCAGAATGTAAAGACGGAAAACGTAATAAATAAAGGAAAGTAACAATGCATAAATAAAGATAATTAAAAGTAAACTTGGAAGAGAGAAGAGAATTCAACTAAAGATTACTTGCTTTAGTAAACAAAAACTTGTTTCTTAAAACACTAACTCAGCCCCTCTATTTATACTAAGATAGAGGTGAAGGTATAAAGTAATTAACCACTAAACTTGGAGCCAAAGTTTGCAAAAGTATAACTTAGTCAAAGGGTTAAAAACTTTATCGTACAATCATAGAAGATAATTTCCGGCCATTAAAATAAATCTAGAAAAACAAAAGAGTCTTCAAAAGTTAACCAAGTCTTGTCAACTAACCCCTAGCTACTTTATCTCCAAGGCTCCATGTAGCAATTTAGCAACATGAAGTACAAACTGGAATCTTGCCCAAAAAGTCCACATCAACCTACTATAGAGTGAAAAATAGGTAAATCATTTACTCTAACTCCATAAAGAAAGAAGTGAAAAGTAAGGAAATAAAATGACTCAATGTTGGGATATAAATGAAAAATAACCTATCTAAAGCAGAAGAAAAGAGTGTTTAAGCACTAAATAATTAGTGCGTATCGGAGTGCCAGGAAAAACTGGTTTTGAAGCCTTTATCATGTGACTGAAGATGGAAATTAATATACGAGCCTTTGCATCATGATGTATGCCTTGTTTCAAACAAGATCACACTAAGCAAATTTCTCAATTTCCAGGTTTAGCAATTTAGCAACATGAAATACAAACTAGAATCCTGCCCAAAAAGTCCACATCAGCCTACTTTAAAGTGAAAAATAGGTAAATCATTTACTCTAACTCCATAAAGAAAGAAGTAAAAATTAAGGAAATAAAATGACTCAATGTTGGGATATAAATGGAAAATAACTTATCTAAAGCAGAAGAAAGAGTGTTTAAGCACTAAATAATTAGTGCGTATCAGAGTGCCAAAAACTGGTTTTGAAGCCTTTATCATGTGACTGAAGATGGAAATTAATATACGAGCCTTTGCATCATGATGCATGCCTTGTTTCAAACAAGATCACACTAACCAAATTCCTCAATATCCAGTTTTAACTCAACTACGCATACAATCTTTCTCCCACATTGACAACTTTATGAAACCCCGCCCGTCCTTGACAATTGACATAATATAGTTTTCACTTTTTAGTTTCATGGAACTGGTTGGAAATGGATGTTGACTACTTGTTTAGGTGGAAACGGGGTATCTTGCATTCAGAATAAGACATGCCTTGGTTTATATCCTGGTATAGATATGCGTTTCAGATGGAGGGCAGACTATGTTCTTTCGGAATCAAAATTGTCAAATGTGGTGGTGGTTTTTGAATTCAAAATTTTGGATCAAAGTTGAAATATATAGTCCTTGTAAGGTGGAGAGTGACAGTAAGTCAATAAGTAATATGTGCATTTTTTGGTATTAACAAGGTGTGGGGACTCGTGAAGCATTATTTAATATGAACTCTGGTCGATTAGATGCATCATTTGATGGAATTAAACCCATACTTGTTCCAATTAGTCCTCAAATGATCAGGTATCAAGTACATCTCTTTTTTAAGTTTTTTGGGTTATTCAAGTAGCAGTTATATGCATGAATTTGAGTTTGTTCATACCAAGTATCATCCTGTTTGTTTGTCTGTAGCTCATCAAGAAATCACCACCAAGTTGAATGGGTTTGTTGGTGTTTAAGGTACATTTTTTTTTACCTTAAAGAGCATGTTTCTTTTAATTCTTGTTTTGCTTCTAGGAAAAGTTTAAGGTACAGTTTCTATCGATTCTGAAACATTTTAGGTTATACTCATTACACATTTGATACTTTCTTGATATGTTTTTAATGGCTTTCTATAGATTCGTAGACATCATTAGCTTCAGCTATGATGGTTGGATATCCACCACAACAACCACCACAACAAGACGAGGATGGGGGATGAGGACACTGACTCGTACGACGATTAGATATTTATGTATTAATATGTTTGAGACATCAATATTTATTCTATGTCATTAATTTCTTATTACGGTTTAAAAAGTTATTGTATTACGGTTTTCAAAATTATTTTCTAGCTATCTGAATATCAAATTATTTGATTAAAATATATTTTATAACCAAATTAAAATAGTTAAAAAAAGAAATTAATTTTTACCATGTCATCGCAGTAAGTAAAAAATTAAAATTTTGATTTTTACCTACTTTACCGACTTGTCACTGTAGATAAAACATTTATTTTTAATTTACCTCCTATAGTAACGAGATGTCGTCCCAGCATAAAAAAATCTGAATTTTTTGTTTTTAGTTTTTAGCGATTACGATGACCGGTGTGCACTAACACCATTCATTATGGAGACATAATACTCACTCTGTGACCATACAATCTCCTACTATCAAAAAACAAATGATAAAGTTACAATGAAAAATCTAAGGATAAAATAATCGATAAATAAAGTCGGAGTTAAAGGAACTTTAACAGGGGTTTGGAGAGTTATATGTACGTATATAAAGAAGATGACTAACACTGAAAAGTAGTTCCATTTCCATGTGCTGAAACTGAAAAGTAATCTCCATTTAAGTTGTACAAGAGAAGCTAAGAAAGTAGTAAGAAGATCTTAAGTAACCATGATCTCCCTTACAAATTACAAGCTTGCCAACTTAGACCAGTTAATTGGTCTTGCGTAATTTGGCCCACCAAACTGAAACTTGTTGATTATAATCGAGGCAGCGTATTGTGTTGGGTGAGCGATATCCCAGAAAAGATACTCCTTTCGGTTCTTACACAATTTAGCCAGTGGATTACAATTGCTCATTGCATTAAACCTCCCCAATCCGCAACAGGCATCTATCGTGTTTGTAAGATCTGAATAAAGAAACAAGAAAAGAACAGTCATTTATGTTAGCAAGTCGTACGTAGACCAGTAGGTATTGTATGAATAAAAATCTCATGTCTCCAAACTCCTTGTCACCTCCTTTTCCTTTCCCACCAATCACATGTTGACCCGTCGACATTTTTATTGGTTATATACTCATTTAATTCATCATTTTATTCTCTTAAATGAAGTGCTGATTTGACGACATGTGATTGGTAGACTGGGAGTTCAGGGACAAGGTATTTTTTATTCATACTTTACAATGTGATTGATTATTGACACTTACTATAATTCTTTGGGTGCTCCATTAATTCCTTAAGTACGTCGTATGAATTTGCGAACGAATATACCATTCCCTTGAAATTGATCATCATATCACACAAAAGCTTTTCGAGTTTATCATTGAATTGTATTGCCATATCGTTTGCTTTTTTTGAACACTCCCCGGTCAGTACGGTTACTCTCACGAGTGGAACGCATCCGACATACGGTATGCCGAAGATCCCGAATTTCCTTACTCCAAGATTATACAAAACCTAAACATAATTATCGTGTCGTTTTAGCTTAATTAGTCCCTACATACAAATTTATAACATATCTTATGAGGTCAATTCTTTAATGGATCTCTTTGGACCCCCACATGCATAGGTTGTATGCCACATCTTAAAATATGATATGATTAATTAGGTGGCCTTTGATATCAGAACTTATACATGAAAACTTATATGACATGATACAATTAATATGCTATAATTGTAAGTAACCGAGTAGCCTTGTTATTATGATACTGTATGCATATTCGATACTCAGTGTTTGAAAATCGAGATGGCATGGTTACACTGATGATTAAGTTTTCTTTAAAGCATGATTTGTTTCAAATGGGAGAGTTGACTTCATAAGTGGACTCGTGAGATATGATATAAGAAGAGAATGAAGGAAATTAACCCTTAGGGTGCTATTGTAACTGTCGATGAGTTCGTCAATGTATGCATTTACTTCCATTTTTTGTCCAGTCATGACAAAAAAGTTTATGTCGTTGTTACCCAAACATAAAAAGAATGTTGATTTTTCAAACAACAGTTGTGTCTTCCAAGCACCAATTGTCGCAGTAAGGTTCCCATATACGAACATCAACTCCATTAGCTGTTGGGTTATTGACACAGATTGCTGAGCCAAAATACATACATACGTTGTTAGCATAGAAGAAAGTTCAAAAGAAAACCATAAATATTTTGAGAACTGAGGAACCACACATTTCATGTATTATTCATAATGAATAACAATGGATATTATTCATCATGAATAATTCCTATCACGACATTCTTTATGAATATTACATGATAGGTATTTGAACCTGCCCTTATTAGCATATACAACAAAACTTAATTGTCGTACATAAATATTATATGCATATAAAAAAAAGAACTTGAGATCTTACATCGATTGCAGAGGTTTTGTCGATAATCCCTGAGCCTGATGAAGCGAAGTTTATTCCTCTTGCAGGGTTTTCCTTATCCGCTTCCATTGAAGCGAAGTTGAAGTCTTTGGTTGGAGTCTCCCAAGGTCTCATAGGATCAAAGTCTATCGCTTTCACAAGATTCGCGCTGAAGGTATTTCCCGTGTCATAAAGTGATTGAAATGGTGGTGGGCTTGTCACGGACTCTCCAAGTGCTACTTTAGCTAAAACATGGTTCATCGATACACAAAATTTGGGTGGTTCACATAGCCGACAATGGTTATATTTTGACAAAAGAAGTTAGTTGTTGGCTAATAGAAATACCTACTTTAATAGATATATATATATATATATATATATATATATATATATATATTCTTTTAAATGAAGTTTTTGCAGTTTTTAGCCTGTTTCTTTCTTTCAACAGATGGGTTTTAAACTTCCTCTAGAATAATGTAAGTATGAGAAAGAAAATAAAATATCTAAATATAAAAAGGAGAGAACTTTAGAAAAATCTAACGAATTTTCTCATTTTTAAGGATTAAGCCACTTATGTTTTTCTTGAATAAAACAACCATTTGAACTCTTAAAATTGGCTATTTTTTTTAACGAAAAAAAGCTGATTGTAACCGGCTAGTAATGTCTTAAAATAAAATTAAAAAACATTCTGTTTCCTTTTTTTTTTTTTTTGAAAGATTCAGTTTCCTTCTATGTCTATTGATTCTCCTGTTTTAAATTTTTTTAATGAAGCATGT